TCTTAAATGGAGAGAATATGTCATCGACAGGAATCAACTATAAAGTTTCAATGAAATAACATTCTAACCATAGTAACACATTAATAATTTATGCTTATATATTAGCCTATAACTGGCCCAAATCTACTTTTTGGACCAATTTCAACTTGAATATGTTTACAGACATATATAAAACCTTATTCTTAAATTACTCAGCATATTCTAGTCTCATAATGTTTAAAGAAGGAAATTGATACAATCAATGTGTTAACAGGAAATCAGTTATACAGTCTGGTTGTTGATAAAAAACGGGATAGAACAAGATTTTTCTCTTCACATTATTATTATTATTATTTTATATAATAATAAAACCATATAATAAGAGTTTGTGACTAGTTGAAAAACTTCTATTAGAAATAAATCTAATCAAATAATCGATTAGTATTTTTTAATTGTAAGTAAACTCCTTATCTACTAGTATAACACTGGTATGCCATTGATTTTTAATTAGTTTATAAGAAAGGGAAAATAATACTGCCTCCTTTTGTTCATTACTTACTGTTCGATGCGATTATAATTATCCAAAAGGGTTTAAGCGTACCATCCTGCATGGTTACAAATGGGCAACAATGGAGCAATAAGGAGTGTTATAATTAAACACGTCTTCAGTGCACTCTCTTCTCTCCAGTCTTTTCAACCTGGCTCCACGACAGCTCACAAGCTCTCATTTCTTCCTCACACATCATCTCCTCCATGTCACGCTCACCTCGGACACCCAACTCATCATTTCTCATCTGGGTTCTACTCGAGGGACTGGCCTGACGCATGATGTCCCCAATCGGCCTTCTCAGTGTATGCCTAATTCAATCCATCTCCACTCTCTTCTTCTGCATATTTGTTCAGCGATAGGTTCTTGATTAGCTCGTTCCCAGAGTTCCCTATCACAAGAACCTCATCGTTCAAAGTTATCTATAAAGTGAGATAGTTTCCCAAAGGCTGTATATCTACACATTTTTAGCATTAATGAAACACTTTCTATTGAAATGGAGAAACTTGAACTGTTTACATAAAAGAAGATTATTCAATCCCTTCTCATTTCATGGTCTTGTTTTTCAGTCTCCTCTACCCATTCCCCATCTTTTCTTTTCATTTTTCTGTTTTGATATCATTCACTTTTTAAGTAATTTGTTATTCTTGTTGATATGGTCTGCGTAATCACAATTCGTTTCCTAATTATGTCATCATGTTGTGAAACTACTTATGCAAATTCATTTATTGACACTATTTGTGTTGCCTGGCATGTTTGACAAACCGTTTTTTTTTAACTATTAAATCCTTACTTCAGAAAAATGCACAAATTTACAATTGTATACCTTCAGAAATGAAATGGTCGAAAAAAGATTCTTCGTCGAAATACCTACTTGTTCTTCTTTAATATCCTGACGGGTATATTTCCCAGAGTAATACTAAAACTGTAGATTCATTCAAGAAAGTAATTATGAGGCTCACGGTGTGGTAAAATGCTTTGTCACCTTTATCTTTTAGGACGTCAGAGTGAAGAAGCTATACACGGCGTGCTTAATTAGTGTTGAGTTGTTACTGATAGCCTGAAAAAACTGTGTGCAGCGATGATTACAGGTCGAGCCTAGTTACGTAGTGTTAGTGGATCTTCCTGCAACCGGATGGATATCATCCACCTTCAAAGCTGACTTAGTAGTAAACGTGATCGATGAGATTCTTATGCACAGTTCAGTGGTGCAGAGCATGGACAGTCTAGTTAGCCAATAAGGATTCTGTCTGATCTGTTGAGAGCAGTGCAGCCGAAAGGTAAAGGGAATCCAGCTTCCTAACTGTAGTAGTCACTGTTGTTAAAGTACTTGTTACGAACAGGTGTAATTCATCCTGTGCAGATAAGTGACATTCAGTCTGGAATGGGGATGTCTTTAACACTGATAGCATATCAATAGCCTGGAAGATCTTCTGTGGTAAATCAATGTAGAAAGAGGGGGAAAGTTTCTTCGAGAAGGTGAGCTGCATCTGATCTGCAAGACTTTGGAAACTCATTAGGACGCATCCTGCCCACGCCAGCCTACATGAAATGATCCGGCTACTCGGTGAATGTGGATGCGTTGAAGCTCGACGGTTCGTGGTATTCTGGGACTTCATAGACCACTTTTGAGGGAGTGTTATTGCAGCGTGCTGGCAGGAGTGTCCATTTTCATGTGGAAGGATTGCGTGGAGATTTCCTGTCTGACGAGGTGACCGATCTGCCAGACTATTGGAAACAAAGTTCACGATGACGAGTAGTTTAGCGTAGAGAGTGAAACTAGGCGGAAAATTGGAGTAAAACCCTAAAATACAAATTTCTGTCTTTCCAGTAAACCATTAGGAGAATATCAGAAATTTGTTGTGCAGTCGAATAGACTTGGCTTTTTTCATAGTGGTGAAGTTGTGACTTTCAACCAATGGGTCACAGGAATGAACACCGCTCAATCTACTGAGGTTTGGGCAGCTAAGCGTAGATCATTGAGTGGATTTCAAATCGACTGCTTGTAGTGACTCAGTGAATTGTAGACTGAATTAGATGATATAAATAACAATATGGTGATTAATTTGCAAACTGCACGGTCCATATGGACATTTCTCACACAGTTAAAGAGCACCCCCAACTGCCCAACTGAGAAATACTCCTCTAGCTGACAGCATCGCAACCCTACTCATCAGCCTTCATGATTTCTAACTACTCAATTTTTTCAATAGTAGTATGTCTAGATAACTGGTTAATTTGATTTTAAATTGAACTTTTAAAAGAAACTTCTGTCAATCAGTATGATTCAGTTGTGCAAACTAAGAACTGTATTTTTTTTGTTGCACATGGAAAAAGGAAAGATTTTAAACAACCATACATTATACTGGGTGATGATTGACGGTGTTAATTGTCTGGAGTCAATCGGTAGGAAGCCCTGGACCTAGGTTTCGTGCTTATTAGCACTCGTCAGTAAGGCGTATCTGCAACCTCGACGGAACTGATGTTCCACCTGAGATTCCAACCTGCGTAACCCAGTGTTGTACTCAGCGACTTTACCACTAAGCTATTTGGGCCGTGATTGACCTCCTGTAGGACCGGCTTACATGTATTGATTTGTCACGGGAGTGCAACCAGTCAATAGATGGTTGAAGGTGAAATGAAAATTTGGACAGTGGTTGCATTTGAGCCAGAGACCATCGGGTTTCCGGCCTAATGCTCTGGCAACTAAGCTAGCTTCGAAGTCACACTACTGACCAGATTTTCATTTCATTTTAATCACCGAGGGTTTTGTTCGACTAGCATGTGAATTTCGTGGGGAGTTTCACCCGCTTGATCTTACTCAGTCAAGACTTCTCATCCCAATCGAAATGTAAGTGAATTAGAATGAGAGGTGAAGCATCACACTGATTATCATTTTGACTATCTAAGATAGCAGCCGTGAGTTGGCGAACTAGCATTTAGTAAGATAGGGATTCAGATGAGAAGTTCTGATTAGGCAGTGAGTATTAGTACGATCAAGTGGTAGAAACGCCCCATGAATTCACATGGAAGTAGTCGGGCAAACCCCAATGGTGATTGAAGTGAAATAAAAATCTGGTCTGCAGTCGGACCTCGTAGCTAGCTCGGTTGGTGGAACATCGAACCGAAAACTCGGCGGTCGCTGGTTCAAATCCTGCTGAGGTTCGAAATTTCATTTTGCCTTCAATCACCACCCAGTATCAGTAATCAATCAGTATGAACATAGGACCAGGCATTACTGCGTAACGGTCCCACTTGCCACACCTCATATCACTACATCAAGTAGAGAGGTAATGAGGTGAAGGATGAAGATAAGAGAATGCAGTCAAAAGAAACATAAAGTACGGGAAGAAAGGAATAAAGAATGACAAAATGGTGAGATTCGGTACAGCGTCGTTAAGGTGAGGATAATGTGTGTATACATCTGCGCCACTGACATCGGTTCTCAGCCATATCACCTAGAGTCTCCAACCACTGGTTCCTCTTGTCCCGCGGACCCCAACCACCTAATCTGCATCGCCCCACATGGCTCAAACCAACAGTCAGAGACTTGATACATTGGTGCCATGTTTTAGTCTGACCACCTCGGGCCTTTTTCCACCCTCAACCTACTTCGGCCAACATTGTGTGACGAGGCAATCGGCGACTAGGCATACATAGTACGTGTCGCAACCATCTCAGTCGATGAAGGTTCACAACCTCGTCAACTGATTTACCTCTACTCCCTAAAACTCTATATCTGACATCTGCGTAACTCACGTGGTGACGCCACAGAATACGGCTTATACTACGAAGGCAACGGTGGTCAAAGACTTGAAGCTTTCTTATATCTTCCACTTTCAATGGCCACGTTTCACAGCCGTACAGTAGAACAAAGCGGACTACTGTACAGTACGCGCGACCCTTAGTAGACAAATGGATATCACGGTGGCAGCGCCATATGTGGCGTAAATTGGCAAAAGCCAATCGAGCCTTTTGTATTTCTGCAGAGATTTCATCGGCAACTAACCCACCAGGGTTGATCCTACTTCCCAGGTTATTGAAGTGGTTGACACACTCAACCACTTGACTCTCTACTGTTAGCCGTGGCATCGCTGGAGTAAAAATTTGTATTTGGCTGGTGAAAACCGCATCCCAAACATTCTCAAATTCCCACTCAAAGTGTTCAGAAGACTCTGCATCTTGCCAGTGTCTTCACCTAACAGGATTATGTCATCTGCATATTCTAGGTCTAAAGAAAATTCTCCTGTGATTATGTCATCTGTGTAATTAGGTGACGAGAGGGAGACCTGCATAATAATATCTATGATAAAATTGAATAAGAATGGAGACAGTGGACAGCCTTGACGGACACCACTCGATGAGTATAGCTCCCTGGACAACTAGTCTGTCGAACCAGAGTTGCTATCTCAGACAAACAAAACGATAACTATACATCAAGAAAAGACTTCATTGTATAGGTAAGGCAACTCACCGACTCTTCTCTTGACGAAATTCATTTACAGGGTCACTTGGATAATGTTTAACACGGAAATTTAAAGATCTTGGACTAACATCTGAAAAAAAATTGAATATAATATCATAGTTTTTCTATGAGTATTACAAGTAAGGCATAGTATCTAATTTAAAATCATCTGGTACCATGTAAACTGGCTAATAATAAGCAAATCTGAAGCAAAATGTCAGAGATCTGTAAGTATCCATCCACTAATACCTTGGTACCATTGACTGTAATTAGTGAAACTGCTTCAAAGTGTTTATAAAAGGGAGGCAGAAGGTTTATTTCGAAGAAATAAAGTCGATTTATTGCAGAAAACAAGAGGAAATTTAGCTAATTCGTGAAAATGCTTTTACGATAAAATCTTATTTCCAAATGTATAATAATCGTCTATATGTACTTTGAAATAATTCATCGCTATGAATGAGAATATAAGTGTAAATTTTTGACACTGTGACCAGGTATATTGGTGACTAGTAGAGGAATTCAGGATGCGCGTTACGTCATATGTAGGACTCACTTGTCAGCTAGATGTACCTTCACCACAGTGAGTAATGTTGTCCAAATTGAGGCTGCAAACCAGAGATCGAGTAATTCGGCACTGTATTTATCATTATTTTTCCCCTTGGGTTCTTAGTGGAACATTTCTTCCTCACATCATCTCCTCTGTGTCCCCCTCACCTAACATGTCCAACTCATCGTTTCCCCTTTGGATTCCACCCGATGATCTGGTCTGGTGAGTGATGTCCCCAATCGGCCTTCTCAGTGTATGCCTAATCCATCTCCATCCTCTTCTCCTGCATATTTGTTAAATGATAGTTTCTTAGTTGGTTCATTCCCGGAGTTCCTTGTTGCTCATTCTTTCTCGCCATCTGATCTTCAGTATGGAGTGAGAGTAGATGGCATCTGTTGATGAATGTCTGTAGTTTGTTGAAAATGCTTTTCGTGATGCGCCAAGTTTCTCAACCATCACATAGAAGCACTGACTTGACTGACATTGGCAGTGTTGAAAATCCGAATGTTGTTCTTTGTGTTGAGTGCAGTACACCTATATACTGATTTCAGATTAGTGAAATTATGAGTATCATTTTAACCATATTATATTAGTTCATTTGATTTACAAAACACAGTGGAGGGTAGTAAACATGAGCTTAGATACGTCTAACTTCACAGGGATTGATCTAATCTCCGAAGGTCTTCTGATTGACTTGGAGTAAGCAGAAGATATTGTCCTACTAGGTGAGGACGCTGACAAAATGCAGGCTATTCTGAACGCGTTCAACATAAATCTGAGTAGGTCTGGCATGTCTTTCTCTGTAACTTGTCAAATGTAAGATAATGCTCCATGAGTGACTGTTCTGAAACCATTCCCAGTTTAAGGATAGGAAGTGAAGTGGTGAAATGTGTCGATCACTTTACTCAATTGAATAGTTGCATCAGCTTAAAAGTGTTGGTTCCTGACGAAATCTCAATTCTAATACAGAAGATCTGTTAAGCACTTGACAGTTTGTGCCATCTTTGGAGCCGACTGGCAAGATATCCGCTCATCAAAGAACGAGTATACTTCACTGCAGTTTGTTCTTTTCTGTTATACAGACATGGCCACCAAGAATAGAAGACATGAACCGGTTAAAAGTTTTCGATAAGAGGTGTCTTCGCAGCATTGTTCGCATCTGTTGAAATCACGAGATGATCAGTGTTGAGGTCAGGTGAAGAGTACTAAGCACGGCAGGTAATTCGATTGATGAGGTTGTGAACCTTATTCCTAACACGGTTATGCAGGTTCCCTTCTGCGTCGCCTGATCTTTACTAGTAGATGAGCCCTTATTCGGATGCCTCAGCACTAAGTGGATATTAATTTTGTTGAAGTTTATGTAGTGGCTTGCTATGGTGGCTCACATATCCAAGAGACCTTATGATTAACCTTTTAACGTTTAAATCAATCAATCTCTAGTTCGAGTCCTATCAGGAACAATATAGCTATCTGAAAAGCAAAAAAGGTCACTAACAGTAAAAAAACACGTATTCAGGATTCCACTAATAACCACTGAATAGATCACAATACAGTGAAAACTCAGGCAGTATCGAAGCATCTGCATAGAAATCTATCTGTTAACAGAAGTCTAACAGTTTGATCCACTATAACAACGGAAAATTACAAGTACTAATGAATAGATTCTGAATATATTTAAAAAGATTAAAACTTTGTCTACGATATAAGTTAGATTGTTTTTAATAAAAAAAATTCACTTATGAACATGATCAAATGTATAATGATACTCACATTTTAATTGTTTGTAAACAGTTTTAGACATTTCAAGCCATTGCTGGAAATGAAAGAAATAAAAAGCGAAGTACTAGATAAGAAGGAGGAAAGTTCAATCTATATAATAAACTAATTTTATATGTTAAATATAAGGATATATTAACACTTGAAACTTGAATGTTATTAACTCAAATAGTTGTAGGTCATTGTAAAATTTCATTGAAGTTTTATGTAAAGTTTATCTGATTAATAAAGTATAACTGACTTAGAATATAGTCGGGCAAAAATAGGAATGATATAAGCCTATATTGTATCACTGTATTTGTTTTTCTGTCAACAGTGAAAAATTATTCTAGACACAACTGGATATATATATATATAACACTATTGAACAACTTGAATAGATCAAACCATCCAGGCTGATCACCAGCCAGCCAGCCAGCCAGCCAGCCAGCCAGCCAGCCAGCCAGCCAGCCAGCCAGCCAGCCAGCCAGCCAGCCAGCCAGCCAGCCAGCCAGCCAGCCAGCCAGCCAGCCAGCCAGCCAGCCAGCCAGCCAGCCAGCCAGCCAGCCAGCCAGCCAGCCAGCCAGCCAGCCAGCCAGCCAGCCAGCCAGCCAGCCAGCCAGCCAGCCAGCCAGCCAGTCAGTCAGCTAGCCAGCTAGCCAACCAGACAGTCAGCCAGAGCGAAGAAGGGTGATTTCAACACCAGATTGGCGTTTCTTTGTTGAACAACTGAAAAACTAATCAGCTAACAGAAATATCATTGTGAACTATGGAAATTCTAAATCATTTACAAATTAACCAACCTGTTCAATGTATACTATACTGATCCAGAGACAAGTCAGTTAATCAGATTCAGATAAACTAAAGGAATTCGGCTCCATGAGTTGAATGTGTCAGTGCACACCACTGAAGAACTGAATAAGTCCTAAACGAGTGAAATAACTATCTAACGTTTAGATAACTCTTATCTGACTTACTGATGAGATTGGCAGATCAGCCTCATTGGTTTCGAACCATTTAATTTGTTCAGTAGTAAAATTTTTCGTTAGTTGATTATAGTTTCTAACGGAAACCCTGTTTCACCCCATATTTTGGCAGCTGAGAGACTACTCAGCTAAGAGAAGTGTCAACGTGGACTGTACACTTTGTGAGTTAATCATTTAGGTATATAGGTAGTTTTAATTCTCATGTATAAATCATGTTTACAAAACGTTTTTAAAGAATATCAATCAGACGAACAAATATTGTTTGATGTTATATTAGTCCGTAATGAAAACTCCAATGGCCTAGTGGATAACGCCTTGGCGTTTGAAGTGAATGTTTACGAGGTTCGAACCTCAGTGGGGATAACACCAATCACTGGGGTCCCAGCCTATCCAGCTGTCCAGTGCGTCCCATATAGGATGAAATGTCCATCCTGAATCCCCCTGCAAACCATCATCAAGGAAGTGTTTAGAAACGTTTCCAAAGAAAACGTTTTGTAAAAATAATTTCTAAACAGAAACTGGGGGCTGATAAGTTTTATCTTGATAGATTTTTCTTCACAGGTTCTCTAGTTGGTTTCAGAGTTAGTCTGCATTAGGCAATCTAAAATAGGTTCCTAGTCAGTAGATGCCGCATGCCGAGTAATTCAAAATGGGAAGCTCAATAATGCCTTGAAGTGAAGAAAGGAGTAAAACAAGGCTGTCGCCTACTGTCACCGATGATCTTCCTGATTGTGGTCGATTGGATCATGCAACAAACAATGAGGAACAAGAAGAAGAACATACACCGGACCAATGAAAAGACTTTAGGAGATTTGCATTTCGCCAGTGATGACTTGTGTCTAATGTCATGCAAACTTGATGATCTACAGGCGAAAACTAACAAGTTGACAGAAGAGGCGAGCCAGCGAAGACGGGAATTCAAGTGAAGGTAGAGAAGACAGAGAGAGGTGATGAAGATACCCAATCAACATCAACACCAACACCACCACCACCACCAACAACAACAACAACAACAACAACAAACTCCAATCACCATCAACGGGAGAAACCTAAATGAAGTAGTCTCTTTCATCCACCAACTAGGCAGCACTGTTTCGACTACACGTAGTGGCACAGACGAGGACGTCAAGACCGGCCATGATTTGAAAGACAGCAAGACAGGTGTTCATTAACCTGAAACCAGTGTGGAGATCTACTACACTGCACTGTTGTCAGCACAAAGCGTGAACAACATCGTGATTTCCAACACCAAATCAGTCAAGTCAGTGCTTCCATGTGATGCTTCAGAGACTTGGCGTGTCACGAAGAGCACTTTCAACAAACTACAGATATTCATCAACAGCTGCCCACCGAGCTCATTCCATACTGAAAATCAGATGAGATGGCGAAAAAGAATAAACTAGGAGGAACTCTGGCTTGCTTATGAACCAACCAAAAATCTATCGCTGAACAAATATGCAGGAGAAGAGAGTGGAAATGGATTGGACATGCACTGAGAAGACCATTCGGGGACATCACACTCCAGGCTCTCAAGTGTAACCTAAATGGGAAACGACGAGTTGGGCGTTGGAGGTAAGGGTGACATGGAGGAGATGGTGTGAGGAAGAAATGAGAGCTTGTGGGTATTCGTGGAGCCAGGTTGGAAAGGTTGCAGAGAAGAGAGTGGATTTGAGATGTGCTACGGAAGCCCTGTGTTCGACTAGGAACCCAAAAGACAAATAATGAATGACATAATAATTGTCAGTACGTAAAGTTCTTCGTCACTTCTGTCATCTGATCCTGATAGATACGTATCGCTACCATTATTATTTGGAAGCCTAATAATCTAGATATAGGTCTTAGTATTTACCTCAAGATTAAAAATAAAGAGAGAGGTATTTCACCACAGAACTTCCCGTAAAAGTGGATTGGTAAAAATTGACAACAATACAGATAACTGTAACCTAAGAAGTGACTTCTGTGCTTCAGTCAACAACAGGCAGATTGTACGAACCATACCATTACACCAGCTAGAGTATCATTAAAAATCTAGAATATTGGACAAATTTTTCGTTCCACTTTTAACCTACTCAACAGTCTATAGACACAAACATATAAAAACTAAAGTACCAAAATCAGCTGATCTCATAATCCATTTAACTGGTATGGGCTATCCTAAATGATAAATTAATCTTTCTACCCATTTTCGATAAAGAAATATATCATAATCAGTTGGGAATGGAAGATATACACGATCTATAAGTGATTGAAAAACCAACACATCACATCTCTACCAATATAACAGACATGATGAGCAAATTATTTAGACGGAATTACCTATTGCTACAAAAACTTCATAAAGTGTTCATAGGTATTATCAACGACACTGTAGGCCATCATAATTACCAATTATATAAATATGTTGTTGTTGTGTAGACCTTATTTTTACTAATTCTTACATTAAAGTAGTCAAAGACAATTAATCTAATACAAGGTGATGATTGAAGTTGAGGTGATCATCGAGTTTTCCGTCTGGTAGCCTACCAAACCACACTTATCTCAGATCGTGAAAATGATTATTGATTCCATGCCAAAAAGTAACAATAATCGATTGTTCACATGCATCAATTCGTTATTCATTAGTAGACTTAAAGTTTGTTGAACGTCCAGTGGTAATGTTTATCTACTTCAGATTGTTTATAACTCCTTGTCATACAGGAACTCGAACACTTACGATGATACTCTCTCCATATTTGTCTAAGTTAAAGTATTGAGTATATTTATCTTATAGCTAAACATGTATCAAAATTTAAGCCACTTTAATGGCCTAGTTGTATAACAGAAGTGTAGCAAATGAAAACCAATATTCCACTTACTCGTTGTTTTGACCGATCTAAATAACGTAAGCCAAAATAATCTTTCTCAATAATTCCACCCAAACGTTCTATAACTTGATTGAATAGTGCTCGACCTAGGCAGTCATTCTATTTTTTGAAAAAAAAAGTATAAAAAAACATGTAGAAAATCATTTACTATTGAATGTTCCATGTAATATACCTAAACTTCAGGATAATCAATATTTTTGCTATATAGCTTTCGCCTACTGTTTTGACCTTGAAAAATAACCTACACTGTTGCTAGTTTCTCTTCCCTCTCTTCTCAAGCCTTAATTCTCATTGGTTGTTTAGTATATGTGGATTTTGTGTTGTCAAGGTCATTTAGAAAGGTATATATTCAACTGTATTTTGCTGTTACTTAAACAGTAGGAGGCTCTCTGTCAACAACAGTCTATCTTCTCTTCTTGTCTCCAAACGTAGGTGGTATTGTTGTTGTTGTTGTTGTGGTGGTGGTGGTGGTAGTAGACCTTCTGATTTGCGTTAGAGTCGATTCATTCGTGAGTTAGATTCGTATAGATGGGAGACTGTTAGATGGTACTAATGGTCATAGGAATTTCGAAGCTTAAGCACTAAAATAAGATATACAGTTCAAAATATTTAAAAGTTTTATTACGAATTTCATTCAGTCGTAGAAATATCAAATAAATTTTCTTCGGAGAGTATGAAGAGGTGATCATTTAATTATACAATGGTACCCACAATTTTCTTCATATCAGTTAACCTATATAATAGTATCGTTAAAAATCGATCCTGAAATGGAATAGGATCATTTCATACATACACGCAAAAGGACTTCCGACTGGTTGACCCCACATTACCCTATAGTGCTCATTAGTGACTTGCTTCCAGATGGATGTCAGGAAGTTCTAATGAGAAGCCGTAACCTGTGGGGTCAACCCGTCGGAAGTGAAGTGGATGCTAGCTGAAGACCTTGGGTGACAGTCACGCTATGTTGTGAATTGACAGAAGTTGAAAATTGTGAACCATTGGAAACTGACCCAGTGACTAAATGCTTAACACGTTCGCCGTGAAACCTGAAGGTGCTTAGTTCGATCCGTAGCTGGGTCGTGGGTGCGTACTGCTGAGGAGTCCCATGCTAGGACGAAACAGCTGTCCAGTGCTCCCAGACTTTCAGTGGTTCCCCAACAGATGTCAGTCCATGATGAACACTACTTCTAAATTAAAAATCCCCACTCGTCTCAAAAATATATTACATTTCACTTGGGTTCCTAATGGAACGAAGGGCTTCAGTAGCACGCCTAAATTGCACTCTGTTCTCTGCAGTCTTTTCAACCTCGCTCCAACATTGCCCACAGGCTTTCATTTCTTCCTAACACACAACCTCCTTCATGTCACCCTCACCTTGGACACCCAACTTGACGTTTCCCATTTGGATTCCACTTAAGGGCTTGGAGCTAATCGGTCTTCTCAGTGTACGCCTAATCCATCTACACTCTCTTCTGCATGTTGGTTGGATAATAGGTTCTTGTTTGGTTTGTCCTCAGAGTTCCTTGTTGCTTGTTCTTTCTCGCCATCTGATCTAATCTTTAATATCGAGTGAGCATAGGTAGCAGCTGTTGAGGAATGTCTGTAGTTTGTTGGGAATGCTTTTCGTGACACGCCAAGTCTCCCAACCATCACATAGAAGCACTGACTTGACTGAATTGGTACTGTTGAAAATTCGGATGTTGTTCACCCTTTTTCCTGAGCGCAGTGGGTCTCCACACTGATTCCAGATTAGCGAAAGAGGGCTTGTCTTGCTGTCTTTCCGATCCTGGTTGGATTTTGACATCTTCATCTATACCTGTGTCGACGTTTGTAGTTGAAATGATGCTGCCTAATTAGGTAGGCAGGTGAAAAAGGCTACTTCTTATAGCTTTCTCCCGTTAATGGTGCTTTTCGTTCATGCTGTTGTTGAAAGGGTGTCATCATCCTCTTCGTCTTCTCTACATTTACTCGAAATGCCGTTTTCGCTGCCCTGCATCTTCTCTCACCTTGTTAGTATTCGCCTGTACATCTTCGAGTTTGTGCGACATTAGACATTTATCATCACTGGCGTAATACAAATGTTTTAGGCTCATTTCATCCGTCATACAGCTAGCGTATGCTCATCTTCTCACTCCTCACGGTTTGCTGCATGATCCAGTCCACCACAAACAGGAAGATCATTGGTGATAATAGGCAGCCTTGTCTTGTCTTACTCGTTTCTTCACTTCACCTCAAAGACGTCGCTGAGCTTTCCATTGTGGATCACTTGGCATGTGGCGTCTTCATACATCTGCTGTTGAATGAAGTTGGTAAAGATTTGTGGCACTTACTGTATAGTGTTGAAGTGGCAGCTGCGAAATTACTTGTCAGTGGACGCTTTCATAGGCCTTTTCAAAGTGGATGAAGTTGAGGTAAAGTGTTGACTGCCATTCTATACTTTGTTCTTTGATGATGACGCGTAGCGTAGCGTTGCAACTTGATGTTCACATGATTTGTTCCTCCTGAAGCCAGCCAGGTCGCTAGTTCCGGTAGTAGTTGTGAATGCAGCGCATCCTTTATTCTCTCTAGGATGATGCGGCATAATATTTTGCTTGGGGTGAACAGGAGCATGATAATTCGTCAGCTCTTGCAAAGACTAAGATATCCATTACTCACTAATTTTTTTCATGCATTCAGATCCCTTTATCAATATGGATAAAGCATGTAGCACTAGATTTCACGAATATTCCTCAGCTGTTGTATACAGTCTAAACATCCGAACATTGAATATATACAATGGAATATAAGCATAGGAACAAGTTGAGCATTTTTGACTTCAATGTAAGAGAAACAATTTGATGATACAATTGAAAAGATCATTCATAGGAAAGATATATAGACTTGACAGTACCTTATCTATAACAATTTCGGTCTTATTAGCTGGAAACACTAAGCAGTTGAAAAAAGAATGAGAAGGTTTTGATTCATCTTACATTCAAAGGAGATGAGATATCCAATAGAATAGACAAAAGAATCAAAGTAGCACATGATCATTGAATCAGTCGAAATTGCATAAATATCATGCTCATATCACTTCTAACGGCATTAAAGAGTTTTTATCCACTTTCAGTAGTAATTACACTGGAAGGACTGAAAGGATTGGATTTATTCATATCGACGAGCTATTAGTCAGTAACAATGGGGAGTATCTTGTTTCTTATGATAGTTAAGTCTGATAAAGTCACTTCAACAGTAGTTATGGACAATCTGGATTACTTCAACAGAACTGACGAACATTTTCGAAGAGGACCATATGAAGAAATCAAGAAACATTTAGACACACGGTCATGAATAAAATTAAGAAATCTATAGACAATCTGTTACACCAATTAAAAGTAATAATCCTAGCAGAATTTATAGCTCAATTAAGATTCATAAGTCAGGTTATCCCATTAAATCCATAGTCGACTTCAGAAATACCCCCAAATTATGAACTAGAAACGTACTCAGCATTGATACTCTGTCCTATTAGATATGGTTCAAATTCCAGACTAGTAAACTCTTACCAGTTAAAACTAAGATTTAATGACCTGCATACAGAAGAGGATGAGAAAATGGTTAGATTCGATGTAACAAGTCTTTATACTAAAATGTCAATCAATATGGCACTGGAGGCAACTAAATATTGACCCAGAACTTACTCACAAACCTGAGATATCGGTTGATGAGATCATATCAGGTGTACAGTTATGTCTGACCTCCACAGTCTTCAATTTCCGGACAAAATACAGAGATAAACAGAAGGAGTAGCAATGGGATCGCCAATATCCCCAATTTCAGCAGATATATTTATGGATAATTGAGAAAACATGACGTGACAAACGTTTAATCCTGTATCTCAGATATGGTGGTGATTTGTGGATGACACATTTACTACTGTGTTGAAATCGAAACATATTGACAATTTCCTCACACATAATATAAATTCAGTAGTAGGTACAAAGCAATCCACTTATGAGGAGGTAGAAAATGAACAAGGAGAATTAGGTATGTTGGATTGTAGGATAAAACGAAGGACAGACGTCGGTGGTTTGGATACTACCGTCTAAGGGAAACTGACACATTCCAACAGGTATCTTGACTTCAAGTCATCTCATCCATTGTCACTTAAGGCAGGCTTAGTCAGATGTCTAGGTCATAGAGCTAGAAAACTGAGTTGTCAGTGCAGGGACCTAAACTAGGAACTGAAACACCAGTAGTTAATAATAATCCTCTACACTTTATGAAGAAATTCTTACGAACAAACAAGAAATGAAATAATAACCGTAACACAAGTAAGAATAATTACGACAACACAAGTAGAAACGATTTGACAGCCTCCATTCTGTTACCGTATAAAGAAGAATCCCTTTTTCTTTCAATTACAGACTGTTCGACTGAAATCTGTATTGGTTTTAGAATGATAAATGTACAGAAAATGTCTGAAGTATTACGCTGCACAGAAGCGATTTCTATAAAACACTTTCAACCTGATCTTTACAAATAGAAGGAGAGTGTTGTCAATCTTTCATTTCCTTCCGTATCTATAATTTCATGTTGTTTCATGTTAGTTAAATAACATTTTACATTTTTTACCCCCTCTGTACAATCAATTCTCTTACATCTCATCTTACCTACTGATAACACTTGTAACTGTAGACTGTAAGCGGTTGAAGAGTATTCATGAAGTAAAACTATGTCATTTTATTTTGCGAATCTCATCTTTCTTGCTTTGTCAAAGGTAGTTGTTTTTTCCCTTTGATGTGTTTTTCTGTCTTTTTGCAGTTACTTTAGTTTACAAACTAAATTATTGAAGTTCTTGATATCCTGGCTATTATTTGAAACAAAAACTCAATACATGGCATAAGCAGAAAAGAAAGTACCGAAAACTGACGCTACTTGTGAAAGTGGTTAGTCTGAGAAATGTATAGGTATCCTAAAGTATAATTCTCAATGTTAGTTTTATGTCTAACGATTCTTAATCATTACTACTGAAAGAAGCAAAAGACAGGATTGCAGGAAGAAATATCTATAATACACCTTGCACTAAACCCGTCATTTGCAAAATATGCTTCATTTCC